CAGTACCGCGCATAGTAATCTCGTTCATGCGCATTCGCCGCTAGTTACCCGTGTTTATGGTGGTCATCGTAGCTGTTAAACTCATGAGACAAAAAGATATTAGAGGGCGCTCGCTTCCTTACAGCCTTTTTCTAGGGAAACCCAGCGGAACTTCAGAAGTAATTTAACCGTATCTGATCTTTAGGCCGGGAAATAAACCGTTTATTTGAAGATAGTCGAACGAACGAAGTGCAGATTAAAAGCTCAGTTAGACAAAGATATATCGGTGTTATTGTTGCTAAGTTTATTTGTTAATTTAGGGAATTCTAAAGAATCTGTGGGCGTTAAAACACTGAGGCAAACACAGCTAATTTATGCTGGTACATAACACATGTCCATCCATACAAATGAACAAATGAAACAGTACATGTGCAGTAGCGATACAACAAGCCGTTTTAAATAAATCCGAGGCTTTATATCCTTCAGTGTGTCATCGAGTGATATTTATCGAATGGGTACATGAAATTATGACTTAAAGTTGCTTTTTGCACCATCCAAAATGCGATTAATCCGGACGAAAATGAGTTTCTTTGATTTTCCTACTGGGACGCCATGACAGGAGGAATTTTGTTAAGCTCCTATGGACAGAAGTTGACCGGACACTGAAAAGCCGTAAAATAAGCTTTAAACACAGTCACGAGCGCACCATTTTTTATACAAAAGTAGACTTTTACTGTATAAGTTTTAGGTTTGTTCTGAAAAAAATTGGAGGTTGCTGAATGTCAGCGGACTTTTTAAGTGCCAGTGAACACTTTAGTACTTCGCATGTCCTGAGCAGATTGTCACAGAAGATGGTGTAGGTATTTTACTTTTTCTGAAACTATAACAATGAGTCTGTTTCAAGAGATCGTACATATACAGCGTATCAAAATAAGGTGTTTATCTGCGAGCGACTCGTCCGACAGTTTTTTAGTCGGTGAACGCAGTGTGTTCTTGTCGAATAAGCAGTACTTTGTAAAGTCCCACCCTTGAGAGGCACCTTACTACGGTATTCGACAGATAGATGCCTACGTTCTTTATCGCAGTCTCAAGTACTACCAGAGTGAACATTGACAGGCTCTCCCGGAAATGCACCTGCTTGACTAATGTTGGTAATCTTGTGTGCATGAAACGAAAAGGCAGCCGTCCTGATTATTTTGTAACCCCTTTTGTCCTGTCTGCTAATTCCACTCATCAAGTCCCCACCACTTTTCGGTCTGGTGTACTTGAGGAAGAAAGAAATGTTTGCTGACGAGGAATTTCAATCTCACCTTTTCGCACATCATGCATCCGCTGATTTAAACTGAGGCGCGTTCGGCCCCGAGAGAGTGATAATCATACCGGCGGCCCACCTTCGCTGGGTACACATGCCACCCTGGCCTCCACCCGACGCCTATCGCCCTTTCGCTCACCCCCTTCCCCCCGAGGTGTTGAGTGCAGCAGAACACCCCGAGGTAAGTGGTTGTGTAGCCCCACCTGATGAACGCAATATTGTTGGGATTGGGGTTAGGGCTAGGCGTTAGGGTTAGGGTTAGGGGTTAGGATTAGGGGTTAGAGTTAGTGGTTCTGGTTAAGGTTAGTGTCAGAGGTTAGGGGTTAGGGCAACTATTTCTAACCACCTAAAGTACAACCGCGCATTCCCAATATCTTTTGTTTCTGCATACAACTAGACCTCGTCGCCTGTGTTTTCCCTGGCCCCACCTGTAAATGCCCCTATCATCACCGGTCCCGCATTACAGGTGGTTGGGGTTTGTTTACTTCAGGTGGGGCTACATAACCACATCTGACCGACCCCGACAACTGGACGGGCTGGAGATG